GACTGTCTCTTGAGGCACCTCCCCCGCCAGGGTACTCACTCCCCCACTCCCCCTCGTCCTCCGCACTACCTTCTGCCAACCTGCTTCCGCCACAGCCCCGCACAAGCGCCCCTCCCCCTTCCTCCCTTCCAGCCGCTTCTTGTTCCCTCCTATCGCATACAGCCCCTTCATCCTCCTTATCCTCTCCCTCTATAATATGCTCCTCCTCCTGCCCTTCATCCTTCATCCCATCCCCCCTCCCCACACACAGCGCGAACCCGACGACCCCAAAACCCCCGCGCTCCGCTGCGCCTAGCGCTTCCCTCCTGTCTTTAAAACCGGTGCCATCTGCGAATACGTCAGCACTTCCCGCCCGCGAACCGTCGCCGCTCCGCGCAACCGCCACTCCCCCGCCTTCGTCCGCGGCCTCCCGCGCGCCTCCCCCCATCGTCCGCGGGCAGCGGAGCCGTTGGGCCGACCGCGCGCCTCCGCAAAAACCGATAGAGCGCGTTAAAAGACGCCGCTCTAGAAAACGCGCGCAGGCGAATTTGACGTGACGGGCCTGGGGCTACTGCTTCGCCCAATGTCGCCGTCGCCTGTCAACTGTCGCCTGTCGTCTGTCGCCTGTCGCCCGTTGCCTGTCGCTTGTCGTCGCAAACAACACTAGTCCCTCTCCGCAGGCTAGCGTCGCAAGCGAACAGTTGCCGAACCGTACGGCGGCCGGCGAGAAAGTCAGCCCGAAACCAGACAAAAATCAGTCCCAGGTTCGATTGACCCAAAATCAGGTTGCAAGTGCGCGGGTGCACTGCATGGCGCGTAAGAGGCGGCGGCGGCGGCGGCGGCGGCGGTGACAGCGGCGGCGTTGCTTATTGCCGGATGAGGGCGACAAAAGAGTACCGGCACGTTCAGTATTGGCGATAGGCGATGGCGATGGCGATGGCGATAGCGATGGCGACTGCTATTGCTTCTACACGGCGACGCTCCAGGTGCTACGACTACGACTACGGCCGCATGTCGCACTGCGAGCCTCGAGATGGAAGCGCAAGATGACAGGGGGAGACGGTGGCAGTGCTTGTCACGAAGCGAGAACGGGGGAACAGCGGCATGGGAGGGTGGATGGGAGCAGGAGGGGAGACGGAGAACCGGGAAACGGGGCAGCGGGTGCGAGGCTGTTGAGGGTGGTGTGGGGTGTTACTTATGTGGAGGTAGCGTAAAAAGCGGGAGACGGAAACGATGTGTGAAGAGATGCCGGAAAGATAGCTCCGCGCCTTGCGATCTCGCTCGAACCGCGAGTCCGAAGCAAAAGGACAGCGAGCTCTGCGTTCCCTGCTAGAACAGAAGCATAGTTGCGTTGCGACGCCCATGCAAGAAAATATTGAACTGCGATCGTCGGGCGGCTCTCACCCGTGCGAGGAAGAGCGGAAATGAAACGCGGCTGGGTATTTAGCAGGCGTGCGCGCAGGAGCAGTGCTTGAAAACGACCCGAAGAGTAAGGAAACAAGCAAGGAGTGGTGCTAAGGCTCGTCAAGTCGGGAAGCAAGGTCGTGGGGAAACATGAATAATCAGCGACGGATGCGTGGAAAATCAATCGGTTGAATGCGGTGTAGGGAAGTAAATCCAGCACAAGCACAACAGCTGCTGTGCGCGCCGAAAAACATCAACGGATTTGCGCGAGGTCAAAAAAGCTCTCCGAAGGGTGGCTCCTCCTGGTCTAGTTGCTCCCGCCTTGCTTCCCCTCCCATCCATCGACCCTTGACTACACGCACGCACGCCCAACTCAAACCCCTCCCTCCCTCTTGTTGCATTGCCAGAGCATGATGTTTGCCCACCAGCCGACCAAACCGAAACCCAAGCCTCCGCCAAATCCCCCGCAACCCTGGCCCCCTTCTCCTAGCCAAGCCAACCGCTCCCCTCCCGCTGATGATATTGATGGGTTCCCCCTCTCCTGTTGCACACCGCGCCCGTCCATCCTTCCATTCGTCGCCTTGCCCCGGGGGGAGCTTGATACAGTAGCGCGGAAATGGCGACTGATGGGCGGAGTGCCTCCCTCCCATAACAGAATTTGGAGAACTGGCCCGTGACGGAAACAAAAACACCTGTTGTCAGTTGCGGTGTAGTCATGGTCCTCCGTGGAATCCGAAATCTTAATTTTCTTTGGGAAATTGCCATTCGTTACAAGCGAACAATTATGTGCGGAATTTTGGAGAAAAACAGGCTGCCCGTCTGAGCAAGATCGCCTATCCGACGGTCAGATCAGCAGATTTCCTCCACAATGAACCCCCTTAGAGCGGCTCTGTTTCACATCCGCTGTGCTTCCCCCCCTCGAGGTTTCGGCCGCCAGACCTCAGAGGGGAGGGGAAGGGGGGGGGGAAGGCCGGCCTAGCTGCAAAAACCTATCGGGTGCGCGCGTGTGTGTCCCATGTGAAGAGACGGCGGGTCAGCAAACTGCATGCAAGAGCCCCAGCCAACAGCGACCCTTCATGTTTAGCCAGCCTGGCGGAATTCGTGGCTTTCATTGGATAAAGCAAACCGATTGAGTGGCTGCATGTCGGTGAGTGTGAATTGCGCTACTTCGACCGACTTCTCTCACGCAGGGTTGATGTGGTGTGGATTGGGGTTACTCCGGATATCGACGGCGTTCCTTCAAATCCCACTTTTGCTGGATGCATCTGCCATCGATTTTGACACTTGGCGGATGAGCTGACAAATGTAGCTGACATGGCTGTATCTGGCATCAAGCGAAAACTGACACAATGGGTGTCGGTCGCACGGACACCTCAGAAATGCATTTGAAGCACCACATAACCAGAACAACTACAAAGCATGTACAACTGATAATTGGTCTATAGTTCTAAGGAAATTTCCTTTTCCTTACTTCGCGTCCCTGCTCAGCGCGTACACCATTGTTCCCGCCAACAGCACCCAACAGTAATCCGTTACCACTCGCGACACTCGCCTCGACACTGTTCCCGCCACTGTTCACGACGCGACCCAACCTCACGGTTCGGTTGGTAACCCGCGCTCCGGACCTCCGCCTCGGCATTTCCCAACCTCGGCGCCAGGCCCGTCGCGCACCCCATTTTCCACGCATTACCGTTACCACTGTAGTTTCGCTATATATTCTTCGCTCATGCCTTCGCTCATTGTACTCTTGCTTCAATAGTGCAATTCTCGCTCGCTCGCTCAATTGCATTCGTAACACTTGGTATTCAGAGCCTACGATCTCCTCGGATCGCACCCATACCTTCGCTTCCCCACTATCTCAATTTTTTTTGGGGGGGGGGTAGATGTCTCTCAGCGACACAGCACCGCCGCTCGTAGTGCTCTCTCGTAAGCACGCACGGCCACAACAGAGGCTCTCGCTGAGCTTGCTCGACACTCCCGCCATGGCCGAATTTACTCTCGCGACATAGATGCAGGAGCAACTCGACCGTCTCGTGCGCCAAGTCGAAGAATCGGCGCTCGAAATTGCGACGCTCACAGCGGAACGTGACTCCGCGCGTCAGCAATCCACGGTGAATACTCCGGCGCCACCACACGCACCCGCAAATGCACCTGCACAATCGGAGGAGCCGATCGTCATTTCATCAGGCACACCGACACAGAACGACAGCGTGGGACAGCGCTCAGGCGCAACCAGTGATGGCGCCGCCCACTCAATGCCGGGCATGGAGAGAAACAGGGTCGCGCCAAGCCCACGGGAACCTCGTGAAGCCCGTCGGCACGTGGAATTTGCGGCGACAAGTGGCGACCACGCCATCATGGCGCCAATGCCACTAAACCGCAACACCCGCCCTGTTTTGACCCGAGTCAGCGTGGAGGTCCGACGGTTCAGTCGTGGGTCTTCACGATGAACGTATTTTTCGACGCAAACTACGTCGAGTCGGACGCAGCGAAGATCAGATACGTCGTCTCGCTGCTGAGGGGCCCCGCCATGGACTGGTGGCGAGTCATCGTGACATCGCCACGCGCCTACGAGCCACCGTCGCAAGAGGAAGGGCCCACGGGTCCAGCCGTCACTTGGAGTTCATTATGCGAAACCGCCCAGTACAGCACGTGGGACGCGTGGTGCACAGGGCTTCGGGCGCGCTTCGAGCCGATCGCGACTTCTATTTCGGCACGTCAGAGACTGCGTACTTGGCGACAGCTCGGGTCGGTTCGAGACTACACGAGCGGTTTTCTCGCATTATGCGAGCAAGTCGGCTACATGCACGAAGCGGAGCGGGTGGACCGTTACGTCGGAGGGCTGAAGCCGGATATTTCGCAAGAAATCATGCTACGCGGACTCTCGAATTTCAACGAGATTCTCGCGCTCGCCGAGAAAATCGACATTTTGCGCCGTCCGAGACCGGGGTCCTATTACGGACATCGCCCTCGGGGACCGATCGAGCACGCCACCGTACATGCCGTTGCGACGAATGCTGTGAAGAAACAGGAAAAAGTGATTGACTAGGAAATGAGTTGGGTACAAATATGAAACCCTAGGAAACTGTACCCCATAGTGGCTACCCCACTACAGCCTAAACAGACTATAGCATTTAAGTTTGACACACCCCCGTAGGCAAAGTGGGAGAGAACAAGGGGTCACAAGACCAGTCAAGCAAAGCTAAGTAAAGCAAGCTCAGGGTGGATCACAACGTCACCACACATTCCGAGCACAGGTTCAAAGGCCACAAGGCCAGTTCACATGCATGATTATATATATAGAGCACAATACAAGTAAAGTCAAGAGGTAAGCAAGTGAGGCCAAGTGGGCACAAGACCTAGCATAGTACAGAAGCGCTGATGATCACAAGGCTGAAGTGCCTTGGTGAAGATATCAGCAGTGTTGGCCTGAGAGGCCATGTAAGCAAGGCGCAGCTGACCACGCTGCTGCAGCTCACGAGCAAGGAAGTAGCGAAGAGCAATGTGCTTTGTTCTGTGCTCCAGTCTGTGCTCCCGACACAAGGCCAGCATGGCCTTGTTGTCTACGTACAGAACTGGAGGAGAACGAGGCGGCTCTCCCAGGTCAGTCAGCAGGTAGGTGAGCCAGCGTAACTCCTGTGCAGCCATGGCCCCCGCGTAGATCTCAGCCTCACAGCTGGAGCTGAGAACAGAAGACGAGCGGGTAGACCGCCACGAAACAGAGCCGGAACCAAGGCTGAAGGTGTAACCCTGTGACGACCGCTGAGTAGCCAGGTCGTCAACCCAAGACGCGTCTGCGTGACCAGTGAGGACCACTGGACTCCGCCCTCCAAGCACGAGCCCCATGCCCGGCGTACTGCACAAGTAGCGCAACACCCTCTTCGCGGCAGCCATGTGCTCTGGTCGGTGTCTCCCAGGAGCAACATAGCGTGCCAAGATGCTAAGAGGGTATGCCAGGTCAGGACTAAGAGGGTACGTGAAGTCGAAGCGCTGAAGGACCTGCTGCACCATGTGTGACTGAGTCAGGGTAATGGTGCGCCGTGC